ATCTCCTATGGAATTCTTCCTGTATACAAGGAAGCTTCCACAATGATAGCTTCACTGTTGATGTTGGATTTGTTACCTTCACCAGCTGCAATCAAATACTTAACTACAGTCTATTTGCTCAAAAAAGGGACATGTGTTTATATGCGGAGGAAATTTAGCCTTCATATATTTACCTACCAACTGGACAGGACTATGTGTCATGGCTACCTTGTTGCCTGACATAGATGTCATATCTGGAGAAGAACCCGTGCCCATTCCTAGCTTTGGCTATGTCATGGGCCACACTAAAAGGGCAGTTCAGCTTATCCCTTTGTTGGTAGGACTGGGAATTACAGGAGCCCTGGGGACGGGCACAGCAGGGTTGGGAGTAGCAGTACATTCTTATACCAAATTATCTAATCAGCTGATTGATGATGTTCAAACACTGTCTGGTACTATCCAAGATATCCAAGACCAGATAGATTCATTAACAAAAGTAGTCTTACAAAATAGGAGGGGCTTAGACCTTCTAACAGCAGAACAGGGAGGGATCTGCTTGGCTTTACAGGAATGCTGCTGCTTCTACGCAAACAAGTCTGGTATTGTTCGAGATAAAATAGACTTCAAGAAGATCTTATTAAGAGGAGAAGAGAGCTATTTGAAAACCCTTTCTGGAGTGCATGGAATGGAGTACTACCCTACCTTCTCCCCCTATTGGGACCCTTGATTGGACTATTAATACTTTTATCAATAGGACCCTGTCTTTTCAATAGGCTGATGACTTTCGTTAAACAACAATTGGATGCCATTAAAATGCAACCCATACAGGTCCATTACCATAAGCTTGAGATGGCTGACAGAGAAAGTTGTGCTGAACTCAAGAGAGTACACTACAATGATGCCCAATCCAAGTAAAGAGATTTTCTCACCTTGGTGCAATGGACTGGATAGCCAGAGACGGGCAACTAGAGGCTCACATGCGGTACCGACCAACCACCTAAGACAGGAACTGGGCTTTCCGCTGCCCTGCTTTCCTATGACGGGAAAGATCTGATTTGGCCCTATGTGAAAGCATCTTGACCCAAGGCAGGCACAATCCCCTCAAGGAGCAACAGCCTTTGGAGTTAAAGTAAAAAGGGGGACCTGTGGGAAGCCATTAACTGGTATCCATTTTATAATAGTGTCAGCCATTTTCTTAAGTTTCTATTCCCCTGCTGAGTTAAGTTTATGGTCCTTCTCACCTTGCCCATTCCCCGTGAATCACGTGCTATGCCCCAGGGGTGGCACCTTCCCCTGTCGCCTAGATACCTGCTAACCCCCTAGAGCCGAGACTTCCTCATTCCTACACCCCCTATATATACCCAGCACCTCCCCTGAATAAATGAGACTTGATCAGAATCCTGTCTTGTCTCCATTTCTCGTGTCTCCTGTCCTTTGTCCCCTCCTCAATTCCCCACTCCTCTCCCAGGTGACCTTTGTTGACTGACCCGCTGGTTCGGGACAGGGATTCATCAATGGGTTATTTCACCAGTGAGTGCACCATGCCTGTGATCCAATCACCTCCCAAAAGTTCCACCTCTGAACACTTGGGGCTTTGGAGAGCATTCAGATTCAAGGTACAACAGCCTCTGTCTGCATGGTCAGGAAAAGTCACAACAACAACCTGCACTTCTCTGTTACCTTTATGTTGCAGTGGTCAGCCTTCTTGTCACTAAGGCCTAACACTTGATAGCGATAACTTAGAGGAGGGGAGGTCTGATTGGCTCACAGTTCAGCCATGGTCAGCCGGCTCCAAGGCAGACTCCATGGCAGAAGGCGTGTGGAGAGAAGTCCCTTAGTTTACAGAGGCCTGGGAACAGGGAAAGGAAAGAGTTCCAGAACAGAAGGGGCAAGGGACCAGACACAGACGCCACAACCACACTCTATGGCCACCTGGACACACCTAGAAGGTTGCTCTGCCTATCTCTGGGGTGGATGCCAGAACAAACTAAGGTGAAACTCTACCCTAAGCAGCACAACCAGCAAGTGACATGTCCCCTTTCAGACCACTCACAAGTGTTTCAGTTCCTATGGATGCAAAACATATGACCCCAGCACACATCTCAATGCATGAAACATTCCTTTATCCTGATCATGGCTTTGGGGTTTGTGATTCCAGAGAACATCCAGAGGGGAAGTCTTGTCTCTCTTCCAGGATACCTGAGGCCTCTGCTGGGACTGCAGAGGAGGTTCTTCACTCCCACGTCTAATAAGAGATGCTACAATAATGGTTGACTGAGATCTAGGCTGGGGCTATCACCTGGAACCTGTCATAGCAGTTACAGAGTCCCAGCCTGAAGGAAAAAGGATAGAAATGGCTTGATGGAAGAACATGGAAGTCACATTGTAAAAAGAAAGATATATGAGTTGGGATGTACATTTATGTCACCATATTTGGAAAATATAATCTCTACACTACATGGGGAGTGTGGGCAGCTTAGATGGGTAGTTGGTTAGCTTTGATGGTCTCTCATTTCTCACATGATACAGGAGGTCTAGATATACTTATCTTTGTGTTAGAGATGGAAAGACTACATCTCAAGACAGAAAATCTCTACGTCAGTGGATCACTGTGAGCTTCCAGTGATGATTACCAGAAAGGGCTGTTGGAAGGTTGATGTCAAGGATGGCACTTGGGGACTTCTAACACCTGTTCCAATACAAAGCATTATTACTATTTACTGTCACAATACCATTACTTCTTTCCCTGAAGCCCCACACAACCCCACAGCCAGCAAAGGACCTAGGTTTTCATGCACACACCCCAGCAAAAGAGAATGCTTGCTAACACTTTTTGGTAGTGCTTCCCCCAGGTATAGCAGCAGAGTTATAGTGAATTACAAGTAGGTAGCCCTTTGGTCATAGTTAAAAATGGCGGTCTGTGGCATTGTGTATTGCTCTCTCAGCGGAGCAGGAGGGAGGACTGACACTTCTGGTTTAGTTCATGGTCCCATGAGGACTGATCTGGTTCCTGAACAGACCAAAACAGCCATCTTGACAATCACTTTCCTGGGGATTAACTCCAGATCCCAGGTCCCTCAGTGCCAGTCTGGCTGCAAGGCAAGTCCTAAAATGCCCTCCTTCACTGATGTCCATTAAATAAGCAACTGATTGTCCCATTAGACTGAGTCAACTAGGAAGGGGTCAGTAGGCAGCTGATAATGCCAGAGTGTCCCTGAGGCCTGAAGGGCAGCTCTTCTGCCCTGGTCCTTTCGCAGCCTCACAGCAGCTGCAGGATGGAGCTCACTTGGCAGGAATGGCTGGGCTGCACCCACCAGCTGGGGACCAGGGCAACTAGGGTGACCTCCAGAACTTCAGGTGGCTGGAGACTATACAATGTAGGCAAGATGTAAGGTCTTGGAGAAGCCCCTGGGTCAGCAGAGAGCACCAGGGTTCCACCTGGCAGGGCCAGCTTTAGTTTGGCTCCTGCCCGACTACCAAAAACCAGTAAACCTCTTTCAGGTTCTGCCTCTCATCACCTGGCAAAGTGCGGGATAGAGACAGCTAACCACTAGTGCCACATCTGATGCTTAGGAGGAAATCATGGATGAGGTTGATTCTGACTAATTTTTAATTCTAACAGGAAGTCTAGAAGCATGGTTCTGCCTACAAATGCTACTCTTCGCTTGCATATTGATAGGAACAACTCTCTGCCTATGCCCCCAAATTCAATTTCAACAGTCTGTGGGAGGTCCCTGACCAATGCAACTGCCCCTTAGCCTGACTGAGAAGCAGCAGGGGAGTACTCTTTACTCTTAGCTTCAGCTTGGCTAGTCCTTAAAAGGTGGCCTTCTTTTCCTTTACTTAAATCTCTACCATTTCCACCCTCAACAATGTTTTAAACACTAACAACACATGTGAGAAACAGGTACAGAGAGGTACCATGATTTGTTCAGGGTCACACAGCTTGAAATGCAAAAGGTGGGAGGAATCAGCTGCTCCAGAGTGAATCTGTCAGGGTTGAAGATAAGCCCAACCCCTCAGAGCTTCATGCCCTCCTCCCACTCCTAAGCCACAAAAGGAAAATCATTTTCTGTTCCTGGAGCCTCTGCCATCTGAGGGACCCAATAAAGGAGAAAAGCTTGTAAATATGCCAGGATGGTCTTTTCTGGGTTCTTACCTTGCTTGAGTTGTCTAACATCAGTTTCCCGTGACTTTGGGAAGGCTACGTGTAGGGCTGGAGCAGTGGCTGCTGCTCGGGGGCTGGCTATGTACTCTACAGAGTTTGTGTTTGTTTCCTGAAGCTGCGAGCTCAGACCTGACCATGTTTGGGCATAGAGCCTTGACCCACACGGGACCAAGGGCTGCTTCCCTGGAGACAGTTGGGAGGCCAAACTTTCTGCTGCGGCTGGGAGGCCTTTTTTGGGGTGGGGGTAAGAGGCTGGGAAGAAAGAAACTATCTGCCTGCTAAAACACCCAGGGCAGCAGAGAACTGTAAGTACTATACCTGTGAGTGCTCAGAAGCGGTTCTCCAAGTCTGGGGGCTTGAAGGGAGATGGACCGGGAGAGTGGTCTGAGGTGGGCGAGGAAGGGGCAGTGACAACTCCTGGTCCTGGGCTGACAGTTGGCCCACTATGCACTTAGGACGGGCTGCCGTCTGCGTCTACAGACTGTCGTCAGCTGGGGGTGGCACAGCGGCCAGGTCGCTCTGGGAGCTCATTGCCCTGGCCCTCTGGCCCTAGCTTCTACAGTGGCCAGAAGGTAACAGCTTGGAGATAAGGACCAGTCCTGCCACCAGTCACCCTGGAGAGGGATGAAACAATGCATAGGCTTGACCAGAGTGCTTCATGCTTCTGCTGCCAACTGCTACGGTTTTCTATGTTAATAATAATATTTATCAAGAGCTTCTGCAGTGATAACTGAGTGATATTCAATACATCATAAGATCTTGAGGCAGGTAGGATCATTCCTGTTTACAGTCACATGGTTGCTAGGCAGCAAAGCCAGGATCTGATCCCAGGTCTGATGACCTCAGACCACCCTTTCCTCACACTCCACCAAACCCTCAGTGTACTGTTGCTGGTCCTTCTAAGGAAGAGAACACCAACCCAACCAGCAGGTCACCCAGGACTCTCCCTTTGCCTTTTTCCATTTTCCCTAAATCCAACCCAGACCTAGAGTGACCTTTCTAAATTGGATATCCCGTCCCCAAAGTCCAGAAATACTAGCTCCTTTCAAAGCTGGGATGCTCTTGGAACTCAGCTGACGTCTCTATCTGTTATTGATAAGACCTACTTCTTCCTGTCTAGGCTGAGGGTTTGTTGTTTAATACTGACTTTCACAGTTCCTCTTTCCAGAAGGATTTTTGCTGTGGATCCTGCATCTCAACTTTCCACCTAAATCTTACTTCTAAACAGAGCTCCACACCTGTGAATACGTGTAGGATTTACATGACCCCGCAAACTCATAGCCCCAGCACAGGCAGCAGTCCCATCACGGCAGTACAGACAGCAGAACCTGGACAAGCTGGAGGTGCAGGGCCTTTCTGTGACCCAGAGGTATCCAGTTTCTTTCCCTCCTGAGTACCTGGAACTGGCAAGACCAGAGCTCCTGCCTTCCCTAGCCCCAGCAGTGCCCAGCAGTCCGGCAGGCTGCCCCTGGGAGGGGGCTGATTAGCTGGAAGAAGCCCTCCCACAAAGGACCCAAGCAGGTGCACACCAGCCTCCCCAGGGAAAAGAGTTTTGCTAAGGGCATCGTGCCTAGGTTCCCAAGATGTAATTTCCCATTGCACCCAAGCCAGGTCTGTCCCGTTGTTTCTGGACCAGATGTCAGTGACAACTGGAAGCCCCTGGAAAACAGGCCATGAAGGCCTCCTGCACATCCAGATGGTCACAGTGCTTCACCCATGAATAGCTGGATGGACTTGACAAAGTGACACGGAAAGTGGTGTGGCTTTCCTACTTCACCTGGCCAGAAAAACAGAAGGAAAAAGAATTGAATAGAACATCTGTCTTTGGCAGGGGGAAATTTTGCCCTCTGTGCCTCTGTGATGTCTCTACTAGGGAAGACACTTTATCCTTGAATGCCTTCTCTGGCAAGCAAAAGGGAGATGGATCAGCCCACAGACCAGCCCACAGGAGTGGTGACAGGCTTGTACCCTTGGTGACTGAGCTCAACTCTCCCACTCAGGATAGTGGAAGGAGAAAATTGCTGGGCCAGGGAGGGGGTCAATGACCTCGGAATGGACATCTGAAAAGATCCAAACAGTCCTTCTCAGTCAGGTGAGGAGCCTGAAAAGAATACAAGACTGCTAAAAATCTCTTTTGGCTGCTTGTCTCCTGTACAAGCTCTAATTTATAACAATAATGTGTGTGTTACTTTGGGGACCTGGCAAGGAAAATAAAGTCCTCCCTGATATCTAGCTAAAAATCTCTCCTAAAATGGAGGATCACAGAGGCCGGAACCCAATGCTCTGGTATTGTGAGTAGAAATACACTATAGTTACCTTAGCTAAACAAAAAAAATAACCACAGAAATGTCTATTGAGAGGACCTGGGTAGCTTGCAGAATGCAGGGGAAAGTGACTTGGGGACCTCAGCAGGGCAGATCTGTGGCTTCAGGCAGCACAGACTGGGGCTCTTTCTTGAAAACCTTTGTCCAGATTCATGCTCCTGGCTGCGTGTTCAGTGGACGGGATGGGGTGGGGGTGTGGTGGGAACCTTTCCTTGCTTCCTGGCAGCCATACCCACAGCAGTGGGAAGCGAGTCTTTCCACTCTGCTTTTGCCCAAGGTGGCTTCATCCCTGAAGTAAGAAAGAGATCCCTATGACGTGAAGGGGAGAGTCTCTTATGGAGAGATTACCTCCCTTGGTAAGCTGTCTTCTGGGGCACGCTTCGCCTTCTTTGCCTGCTGCCCCCAGCCCAGACAGCCTGGCACTGGAACTCTTTCTCTGTAGAATTATGAAGTGACCTAAGTTTCTCGAGGATATGAGGGACCTAGGAAGAAATACATAGCTTTTTCCTGGGGTCCTATGGTCACAGTAACAAATGACCATAAACCTCATGGCCTGAAGCAACAGAAATCTACTGTCTCACAGGTCTCAAGGCCAAAAAACTAAAGTCGCCAAGGGTCCAGGCTGTCCCTCCAGACGCCCCTGGTTCCTTGTTCCTCCAGCTCCTGGTGGCTGTCAACACTCCTTGGTCTTTGGCCACATTACTCCAATCTCTGTCCCCCTGGTTGCATCACCTTCTCTTCTGTTCCTAATCTCTCCTTCTTCCCCTCTTGTCAGGACTTTAGTGGTTCCCTTTATGGTCTGTATGTATAATCCTAGATAATTTCTACATCTCAAAGTCCTTCATTTAGTTACTTCTGTGAAGTTGGTGCCATATACAGTAACATCTATAGTTTCCAGAGACCAGAACGTGAACAACTTGGGGCAACCACTACTGTGCCTATCCTAAACAGTATGACCTTAGGTATGGTGCTTTACCTTTCTGAGACAAGATTTATCCTCTGCAAGTAGAGATGATGCCACCTACCAAAGTTGGTGGGGGGCTTTCAGGGGGATCAAAGAGAGAAGCCCTCTGGGAGTTGCAATAGGAACTTCTTGTACATACAGGAACAACATTGGCACTGCCCTCTTACCTGTTCCCCTCCTATGGCTTATCTGTCACTTGGACTAACTTCAATTCTGTTGCCTCTGTGGTCCTAGCAATGACTGCTGCCCTCAGAGGACATGGGGAAGAAGCTGGTGATGGCCCAGAAGCGGGGAGAGACACGAGCACTTTGTCTGGGAGTGGCCATGGTGGTATGCGCCGTCATCACCTACTATATCCTGGGCACAACTGTGTTGCCTCTCTACCAGAAAAGGTACTGACTCCCCTGCCTGCCCGTGGCTCTCCCCTAAGGCTCTAGGCCCTCACAGATCTCTGGCTTTCTACCTACCCTCTCCTCCCTCACCCCAGGCTGGAGGGCAAAAATAATCCTCATTCCAAGGGTCAGGCATCCAAGATCTGGGATGGGCCTGCATCTCACAGCTTAGGAACTGGTGGTAACAGAAGAAGGATCCAAGCAAATCCTTGAGTACATGTTTGATCTCTGGAGGAACCAGGGAATCACAGTTTGACAGCTCACCTGCAGTCTTCTCACTTCTGAAACACACTGGTTGGGTGGACATTCTTCCTCCCGATGAACATCTCAAGAATGGGAACTCACCCTCTCCTTGAACACACCGTGTCACATTGGGGAGTGTCTGCACTCAGCCACTATGCGCTCCTCTGGAGCTCTGTTTGGGGGTCTGGGAGAATGTCCTATGCCCTTGCTCCCTGACATGTCAACTGCTCTGGCTTTTAAAAATGAGCTACAAAATTCCCGATTCATGTTGTGACTAGAACAAATACATGCGAGGCTTAGCCTGTCCTTAGGAGGAATCTCAGACCCTTCCCTTGGGCATGTTCTAGCTGATTCTACCATTTCTCCCTGTGCCCCCTCTTGTCTGGCAACAGGGCTTTGGGACAATAAATGTGGAATGAGTCACAACTGACTTGAGTACATGGTGAGGAGTCTCTCTGTCCCCACTTTGTGCAATTGTAGAGTGAGGCCATGCTGGACGCTTACCCAAGTGAGATGCCGCCCCAGCAGCTGTGCGCCTCCCACACATCACCTCCAGGTTAAGCTGCATCCCTTGGGCCTCCCCACCCCCACAAATCATGTCCCTCCTGCAACTGCTCTTTTCACGACAAATGCCACAGACTCTGGAGCCACTCAGAACAATCCTTAGGTCTTAAGTGGCCCCAGAACAGTTGCTTGGCCTACCTGAGATTCTCATCGACCTCTGCAAGATGAAGGCAATATGAACTAGAGACTCAGGCGGGCCTGCACATCAGAACCAATCTGGAGAGCTTTTAAAAAGAAAGCACACAACCCTACCTCAGAGGTTTATTGTGATTCAGACATGAGAATCTTTCTAAAAGCGCTTGGAGTTTTTGAGTGAGTAGCCAGGGTCAAGAACCACTTATATGGCTGGGGAGATAGCTCAGTAGAACAAGTGCTTGCCCGGCAAGCACAAGGGCTTGAGTTCAATCCCCGGTTCCACCAAAAAATAAAATAAAATAAAATAAAAAAGAACCACTTATAGGGCCAGTGAGATAGCTCAGTGGACTAAGCATCTGCTTTGGCAAGCCCAGGGACCAGGATTTGATTCCCAGTCCCGCATGCCATGCGGGCCCCACTCCTGGGATACACTGAGCTGGCAAAAAACTCCAGGCGTGGTGGTGCACACCTGTAATCCCAGCGCTGGCAAGGCTGAAAACAGGAGGATCGCTATGAGTCCTAGCTGTACCAAATACATAAAATGAAGAAGGAAAAAAAAAAAAAAAAAACCACTTACATAGATGATGTTCACAATGTCAACCATCTCTGGTATTGTGATTCTGTGATTCTTCTTGTGCCCGAGGACTCTGGGGTCATGCACCTTTAGCGCTGCATGCTATAGCAAGGTGAGGGTTGTGGCCCTGGGTCTCTCTAAAGGCTTCTTGGGGATCTAGGGTTAAAAATGAGTGCGCTGTGCAACAGTATAGTTCTCAAATGTGTGTGTTTACATGTATGTACGGTTTCCCTAGCGTGTGGACCCAGGAATCCACCTGCCATCTGATTGAGACCACCATCAGGGACCAGGAGGAGCTGGAAGGCAAGAAGGTGCCCCAGTACCCATGCCTGTGGGTCAATGTATCAGCTGTGGGCAAGTGGGCTGTGCTGTACCACACGGAGGACACCCGGGACCAGAACCAGCAGGTACTGAACCTGAAGATGGCTATGTGAGTTGTTCCCTGCCTAGTCTCCAAGGCTGAGAGGTATGACCTCACTTGACCAAGGTATTGTTGCTGGCATGAAATCAAGCGAGAGATTGGAGTTAGAATTTGCCACTGGGCCAGGCCCTTGGTCCCTGCGAGCCTCAATTTCATTTGTGTTAAATGGGCTATAAATGTTCTTCTCTTTCTCCTTCTTTCCTTGTCTTCTTTCTTTCTTCATTCTTTTTCTTCCTTCCTCCTTCCCTCCACCCTGTTTTTTCTTCACCTTTCCTCTTCCCACACATTTCTCTTCTCCTTTCCTTCTCTCTTCCTTTCTGCTGTTTCATGCCTGTCTCTTGACCTTCCTACCCTTCCTTCCTTCCTTCCTATCTCCTTCCTCCCACCCCTCTTCTTTCTTTTCCTCCCCCTCTCCTTTCTCATTCCCTCTTCCTCTCCCTCCCTCCCTCCCTCTCTCCCTCCCTTCCTCTCATCCATTTGTTCAACAGTCAGCACAGCCCACATCAGGTCTATGAGATTCAAGATGAGAGCTGTTGTATCTGGACAATTCCTAGCAGGAAAGGACAGTGTCACAAAGGGGAACAGATTGTTACTGGGGTTAACACAGCATGTTCTCTGGACAGTGAGGTGAGGTCTCAGAAACACACTGGGTTGTGCTTTTTAAATTAGGCAGGTCCTGGATGCTCAGAGGCTGTGGTGAGGGTTTCCTCTCACAGGTGGGCCCTGGAACAGGTGCAATAGAAAGAAGGGCTGGGGAGAAGCAAGATTGGAAGGCTGACTGCAAAATTCAGCAGCGATGGGGTGCATGCAGCTGGAACAAGCAGCAAGCATAGTCTGCAGGCTGTCCAAGGACCTCAGCTACCCAGCTGCATGCAGAATTAAGTGTCACATTGCAAGCACTAGCTGCCTTAGCTCTGGCTGTACATGAGACCTCCCCCCCCCCCCCGCTCCAGGAGGTGCTTAACAAAACCAGACTCCTGCCCAAGACCAATTTAAGCAGAATGTCTGGGCATGGATCAGTTTATGGAGCTCCCCAGAGATTCTCAGGGTGGACATTAATGCTGTGAGCAGTGGAAGCTCTGAGGGTCTGACCAGAGGGGCGCCAGAAGACAAAACCAGCAGCCATGTGAATTTGGTTACCGGACAGGGAGACACAGACCAGCATGGATGAAGGACGACAGAATTCTGTGATGGGAGGGGGTAAGGTGACTGGGGGAGGGGGTGCAGGTCGCAGGGTCTCAACAGCATAGAGCAGTCAGGGAGAAACAGGTTTGGGCAGGCAGCATGCAGGGTCCGATGTGCTCCGCCATCACTGCAAGCTGCAGTTTGACCCCAGGAAGGCAGCCTCAGAACCCACTTCAAAGAATTAGACCTATGCCTGGACACATTTTCAATGTAAGCAGATGTGATGCTCCTGCCATTCTCCTTGAATGTGGGGGCTGGGTGCATGCTGGCTTGGACACTGCCTCCTGATGACACTGCGGCTGCCACTCGGAAGAGCCAGAGCCCAGTTTATCTAACGAATGTGCTTCAGCAGCATGACACAAGCCTTCCATGGGTGTAGGAAGGAGGATCTGGGGCCAGAGCCCTACTCTCTTCTGAGTCACAGCACCCAGCACCCCCAGCATTAACGCTAATGACAGGCTGTGGGCACAGCGCAGGTGCCCTTCATGGTTTGGCCAAGCTCCTGGCTGGTGGCCGGCTGCTTCCTCCACCTCAACTCAGCACAAGGCTGTGGGAAGCCAGCGCCATGTCAGCAGTGGTCCTCTGTAAACACGTGAAAGGCCAGGCAAGGCTGTCTCGTCTTGTCTCCTACTCTGAGGAAGGGGCCACAGTCTGCTCTTGGGTTCTGCCCCAAGCCTTAGCCTGGGGAAGGCAACCTGAATCCCTCCCATTGTCCATGCTGAGGATGATGAAGATGTAGGATCTGAGGAGAAGGCTCCATCACTTCAGATTACCCAAATACCCAAGGATACCTGGACCTTGGGCAGGGGCAAGGGGGGGGTGTACAAGCTCTGTGGGTGGTCTTGAGATGAATCCTAGCATCTTGTCACACAGGTCAGCATGAAGGACCCAGAGAAACACCAAGCAAACAAAGGGTTTAGTGGGGGTGCTGGTGTGGGTAGGAGACCCTACTTCAGATCTCATCCATTGGCTCTTTAATAAAGGAGGGGGCAGCTGTTCCAAATATATAGTTATGGACTGGAGAGATGGCTCAGTAGAATAACTGCTTCCCTGGCAAGTACAAGGACCTGAGTTCAATCCTTGTTCTGCAAAAACAAAAAACAAAACCAAATATATAGCTGTATCAGTAACATTATTAGTGAAGATACTAACATTATCTTCTGTTTTTGAGGACACTATGTATAGGGCTCTGTGCTAAGTGTGTTACATGAATCACCTGGGTTAATCTCCCGAATGGTTACGCTAGGCAGGCACCCTCGCAAACCCATTTTCTAAGGTTCACATTGGCTATGGCAGTTGCCAAGGTTAAACAACTCAGAACTCGTAGGTAGTTGAATGCAGGCCAGTCTGACTCCACAGCCATACTTCTGCTAAGTGGACAAAGTGACTCAAGAACATTGTCAAAGGCATTGGGGACACTCAGGCCAGACCATCTAACACTCAGCTGGGGAGTTGGACGTGCTCCCAGACACCCCACAGGCCTAAGGGCTCTAGATGGCAGATTCCCCAAAAGCCAGCTTCTCCCCAGCCCAGCTGCTTGCTGGCTGAGCCAGGCCCTGAGTTTGAAGGCAGCTACCTCATTTCCGAGGTGTTAGAACCACAGTGCAAACATCTCTATGCTGTGGGCCTGCATGTCATCCGGGCAGGCAGCGTTGGAACTGGAGACCTCCTTCAAATCCAGAGTCACCCTGGTACCACCAAAAAAAAAAAAAAAAAAAAAAAAAATCCAGAGTCACAGAGTCACAGAGTCCTGGAGGAAAGCAGTGGTCTCAATAAATGCCATTTGGGTGTCATTTCTGTATTTTGATCTTGGGACATGGTTTCACTTGGGTCCTGTCCTCAAACCCCAGAGCCCACAGGAAGCATGCATCCCTGGCCCATGCCCAGAAATTTGGATGGCAGGAACCCGTGCTGATGGCAGTCCCCAGGGAGTCCTTGAGTGGTCCAGTGGGGGCCACACTTGCAAACTACTTCCCAGAGGGTCACACAAGTGGCAGTGAGGCTTCACAGCATAGGACAGACATAAAACCAAGGTCTCTACTTCCTGCTTTCTCTGCGAGCTTTCTAGCGGGGCCTTGTCGGAACCGGCCAGAGCTTCCTCCTAACAACAATCAGGGTCAGAATCAAACATGTCATCGTGCTCTGCCTGCCCGAAGCTCCTTTCTACCCATTCTCTCTTCCGGCTGCTCATGCCAAAATACTGGCCTGCCAACCTATTTTGTTTGGCTCACATAGGGTTAGACTTCAAAGAATTTCAATGTGAATTTGTTGCCAACAATTTTTTTTTTTTTTTTTTTTGAACCGGGGATTGAACTCAGGTCCTTGCGCTTGCCAGGGAAGTGCTTATTCCACTGAGCCATCTCCCCGGCCTAGCCAACATTTTTAAATCGTGAGAGTTCAGATTAAAAGCATGCTTTCTGACTTCCCATAACACATGGACAGGCCTTGATAGATCTTCTGGAAGGCCCGTGTCCACTGCTTGGAAGGAGTGCTGACTGCCAGTCTGGCTGCAGCTGGCTCTGTTCCTTTCACAGCTCCCAGAAAAGCCTCTCCTGCCCGAGGCAGAGCACTTGGCACTTTGCACCTCCTCACTGCCCTGCTTGCTTCCCTTGCTGAGGTTAGCTGTGTAAACCCTTAAGCTTGTGACTTCTGTCCTGAATCCAAGCTTACAGCGCACTGTCCCTTTGTCCTGTGTCACCCATCTGCTTTAGATAGTTACATACAAATCCTTCTTCAATAATGTCTTTTGAAAATGATATGGCTCCTAACTCATTTAACCGATGAAGGTGCGACAGCTCAGAAAGGGTAAACAACTTGTCCATGATTCTACAGCCGGCAGAAGCAGGGCTGGGCTCCACACTTGTATCCGGGCGTGTGGCATGCACACACTTAGCGCTGCCGGGCCAGCTTCCGCACCTGACGCTGAGCGTGCCTTGTGGGATTGTGCAGCACACAACAGAAGTCCCAACGTCTTCTGATGGTGCGGTTCCAGAGCCAGCCTTGTCCTCCTCCACGCCAGGGCCCTGCCTTTGGGTCCTAAAACAACGCAGATTTCCAAATCCATGGACGCTCTTGCTTCTCCCCTGCAGTGCTCCTACATTCCAGTCAGCCTGGACAATTACCAGATGGCCCGGGCTGATGTGGAGAAGGTCAGAGCCAATTTCCTCGAGCAAAAGGTTTTCTACTGCTTCTCCACGACTCGGGAAAATGAGACAAGCGTTCTGTACCAGCGCCTCTATGGGCCCCAAGCGCTCCTTTTCTCGCTCTTCTGGCCCACCTTCCTGCTCACTGGCGGCCTCCTCATTATCGCCATGGTGAAGCTCAACCGCTCCCTCTCCATCCTGGCTGCCCAGAGGTAGGCTGACCTGCATCCTGCCATGTGCTCACAGCGGACTGCGGGGGTCCCTGGGGCTGCTCCCCACCTCAACGGCCATCTCTCCCCAAGCCATCCCCTCCGTTATTGTGCAGCTGGCCTTTGGGAAATCTATTAAGTGAATTTCCTGCTCCAGAATGTACCGTGGCTCCCTAGTGCCTCTGAGGGGAAGCTAGGTAGTAACAGCTCTCCCCTACCTGCCCTTACTTGTTTCCCACTGTGTCACTCTGTACCCACAAATGACCAGGACCAAGACCTACCTCTGTGCCAATGTCTTCCCTATTGGCTCAAAAGCCTGTCTACTCTGTCAGGAAGTTCTCCTTAGAAAACCTTAGTGCCAGCAGGGGATATAGCTCAGTGGCAGAAGTGCCCGCAAGTATAAGGTCCTGAGCTTGAGCCCCTGTACCACATAAAACAAAACAAAACAAATGTACCTTAGTTTCTTCTTTCAGTTCTACAACAAACACAGTATCAACTCCTGTTAGCAGGACACGCTTAGCATTCCGTTTTTCTTTTTAGGACACTAAGTCTTATATAACTTTTTTTATTCTGATATTTTAAAATACTTTGTTCCTCACTGTTCACCAAGAGCCAGCTTCAAGATCCTCTCCTGATGCCCAAATCTGCACATGCTCCAGTCCCTGATCTAAATAGCATCATATTTCTATGTAGCCTATACATACCCTCACATATGCTTGAAATCATCTCTAGATGAAGAATAAGATTCAGTGCAATTTAAATGTTGTGTGAACAGTTGTAACACCAGGCTGTTTAGGGCATACTAAGGACAAGAATGTCTGTCCATGTTCAGTACAGATGCAATTTCCCCCCAAATACTTTCAATCTGCTGTTCACTGTGCCACTGTCGTGGAGCCTGCTGACTGTACACACAAAGTAATAAGCTCAGCAAATAAAGCAGAACAAATAAAAATGTTAATGGTGGTGTGGTGATTAGTTTTCATTTTCTTCCTTATCTTGCCTTTTTGGGGTACACTTTCAATACGCAGCAACAGGGGGATTTTATGTTGTTTTTATTTGTTTTTAATCAGAAAAATGAAAATAAGTGTTATCTGGGAAAAGTTAAAAGGGAGAAGGGCTTTCCCAAAGGACAGGCAGGGTATGGAGGACACCATTTTAAAAACACTGGATGGAAGAGAACGCAGACGGATAAGGGCCTAAGCCTGGCACTCAGACCATTTGGGGAACCTGACCCAGATCTGTAAAGGGCACCAGAGGATGCGTGCCCACTACCATGGCCATTATGGTTGAAATGTGTTCCCCAAATGTTCATGTCTTAGAAGCTTAATTTCCAAATTCACAAGTTCATGACATTTAGAGGTGGGGCCTTTGGGAAGGAATTAGGACTAGCTGAGGTCATAAGGGTGGGGCTCCCTGAGGGCATCAGTGGCTTTTGAACCCAAGGAAGAGAAACCTGAGCTGGCACTGTCTATCTCACCCTGTGGAGACACCCCAACCACTTTAGGATGCAGCAAGAAGGCCCCACCTGATGTTGAGCAGATGCCAGCGCCAGGCTCTTACACTTCCCAGCTCCTGAGCAGTAAGAAAATAGAATTTTTTCTTTATAAATTTCCCAATCTCGGGTATTTAGTTACAACAGAAAATGAACTATGACACATTCTGAGAAGTTATCCTAAGAACAGTTATACTCATATTATGGTCCTGCAGCAGCAGCAGCAGCAGAATTGTGAGTCATGTGTAGACTCAGGACCTCATGCAGGCCTTACAAAGCCAGGGACCCTGTGAGGGAGGGGGACGATGCTCTGTGCTTTAACACTGGCTGCAAGGAATGGGCACACAGCAAACATGAGAACTGCTGGTGTAGAAAGGAAGTCCCAGTGACCAGGCTTTGCAAAGGAGATAACTATTTTCCAGGGCAGGTTCTGGGCTGGGTATGAAATTAGGCTGGTATCACTGATGTTCCCTCCAGTGCTGTGATTCTAAGATGCAGCCCTTGGGTTTGAATTCCATCTCTACTGCTGCTAGATTTCAACTCCCTGATTCTTGCTTTATTCATCTACAAAAGGATTCTTCTATTGGGAAGCTGGGAGGATGGAATGGAGGTTTGGCATTTAGCAGGTTGCCAAGCTAGAAGTTTATAGTTAGTAACATGAGGTCATGAATGCACTAAAATGTCCAGAAGAAGTTTTCGAAGTATAATGTTAATTAGCTTTTATTGGTACATACTGCATCATGGGTACTGTGCTAAGTCTGCCTTGTAAAAATTCAGTAAGGTGCTACTGCACTCTGCTCACATTTGAAGAGAAGCAATGAGGAACAGTGGCTAAGTATGTGGACTTGGCATGAGAGCTCTCTGGGTTGCAATACACAACCTTCCTATTCAGTAACTGGTGATTTGGGTCAAATGACCATTCTGTGCCTCAATCATTTCATAAGCAAAACAGTAAAAAGAGTTATTGCTGTTAAGTAGGTTATTGCATTGAAGTTTGTAGGATGGTGTCTGATACATAGTGTTTGCTATAGTTTAAATCTGGAGTGTGCCTCAGAGTCCAACATGTTAAAGGCTTGGTCTACTATACGGCATTCTTTTTTTTTTTTTTTTTTTTTTCCCCAGAACCGGGGGTTGAACTCAGGCCCTTGTACTTGCCAGGCAAGCACTTATTCTACTGAGCCATCTCCCCGGCCCCATGTATGGCATTCTTGAGTGGGGATGGGACCTTTAAGAAAGGGGCTTCCTAGGAAGTTTTCGATCACTATGGTGAGCCCTTTAGGGGAACTGGGAGGGATACGCCCCTTCCTGCTGCTTGTTTCCCTTCTGTGCCTTGGTCATGAGGTGGGAAGTCTGACTCTGCCACGTGCTCACCCCATGATGTGTTGCCTCACCACAGGCCCAAATCAATACGGTCAACGGATCACAGACTGAACACTTCAAAATTGTAAGACAAGTACACCTTTTTCTCCAAATAAGTTATATATTTTGGGTTTTTGTTATAGCCACTGAAAGCCGACTAGCATAGTGCTGTTTAAGATACTCTAAAAAGCTGCATCTACAAAAGGAGACTGGCTACGGCTGCCCATCTAGTATAGACAGAGCTAGGAATCAAGCCCAGGGCTACATGATTCCAGGCCCTGGCTCTGGCATCTCAACCATAGTATCACACAGATCAGCTGACAGGCCAAAGAACACAGCTACCCCAAACTACAGCACCAGGTCAGGATGGTACCACATCACTGCACCCAAAGATGTCCTCATCCAAGGTACCAACATCTGCCACCTCCGATCAGAGAGCCCAGATGGCCCCTGCACCCTCTGCTTCCTTACCTGCGGACCTTCCTTCCAAGACCAAGCAGCTCACCATTCCCAGAATTGCTCCTTTCTAAAGTCAGGGAGCTCTCAAAGGCCCTTTGAGTCTTCTGAGAAAGTCCTAATTGTGATAACGTGTGTAGTTTTTCAAGCTATTACCATTGGGAGAAATTCACTCAAGAGTCTTTCTAGATTATAGCTTACAAGTAACATAAATCTACAACTTCCCTCATTTAATTTAAATAGAGGAAGAAACAGTTAGAAGTCTGCACTAGGAGCATGATTTCAGGGGTCTACCTTACACATGCTTTCCATGAACCTGCGTTTGAGACTGAGATGCACACACACTCAGGCTATCCACCAGCCTCTGCAGGGGCAGGCCACGCCCTTATAGAAAAGTCAGTGCTGTGTAGGGATGCCCAGCCTCCCCTGCCACATGCATTTTTAATGCTGACCTTCATTTACTTGGGAAGTATATCCTCTCCCTGTCAACAGATTCTGGCCTACTCGTACCAAAGGCTGCACCTGTTGGTGCTTGCATACAGGATGAGCATGAAATAATGGGCCTTTAAGAATGATGGATTTAGACAGTGAGGAGAAATGTTTTTGCAATAATGGCTGCTTAGGAGCAGAGAGTCCTTATCCGTTCTTAATAAGTCATCACTAGTGAGCACCTGGTGCTTTCACCATTTTTGCATTTGCTCACACATGCCAGTGACCATACCTGGAGAGATGCACCTGGCATCTGCAGAGATGCACCTGGCACCTGGAGAGATGCACCTGGCCCCTCCCCAGAACTCACACAACCTGGGGGATGGAGAATGGAACAATGGGACCCCTGAGCTGCTCACAGGGTTGGAAGAGTCCTGTGTGTGACACCGTGACAGCACCAGGCTTCAGAAAAAGCTTCCGCTCACCAGCTCAAGCTGCAACTTGAGGGAAACAGAGGTGGGATGCCTCCTTTTGCACGCAGAGCCTACATCCCCTCCATAGTATAACTACTTGCTATAAAGCTGAAAGGTTGGAGAGGAGCAGAGAGATGAGTCAGGCACAATACCTGCCTTCAAAGCACTTCTTGTCAGCCCTCCACCCGGCTCACTCACTGACTGTCATTAAGGGCTTTTTTTCTTGGCAGCGAAGAACCTGAATTAGGCACATTTACAATCATGCAATGTTAAACAAAATATTAATTTCATTGACAATGAAATGATGCCAGCTCACCCTATAAATCAACAACTCATCTCAAATTTCTCCTAGTGTGAAAGCTTTTTGGCTAAGTGGACTGGAAACAGAATATATTCTACTGCTGACTGCAAAGGAGGACTGGCCCAGAAGACTCTTCGATGTCTTTGAATTAGCTTTGCATTTGGAATGGGTTGAATTCTAGGGAAAATACTGTTTGAACAAAGCCCAAATGTCCTGTAATTCACCAGCCCTTTTACATGTAGAGAAAAGCAAAGAGCAAACAGAGATGAGAGAGACATGGAACTATTCCCCAGAGTTTAGGGTAGCAGTTCACACAGTGGAGGCCTGCAAGGTCAAAACTCTTGTCATAAGAATCCTAATGTGTTATTTGCCTTTTTCCCCTCATTCCAGAGGGTACAGTGATATGTGGCATCACAACAGACTGAATACGGAAACAGCTATGGGATTCCAGCTGCCTTAAGCTAGACATTAAAAAGATTTTCAAACATGTAAAAAACACAATGTCACTTTTCCCAATAATAACTTTTTAGAAAACAGAATCTTTTTCATAAAAATTTGTTCTTCTACAACCTAAAATAGGTTTATTATTAGTTTGAAACAGAAAATTAAAGTGAAATACTTTTAAAGATCTTGGTTTGAATTCCTAAAATGTTAGCTATTAATAATATAGCACATATACACAAAAGCTCTTGGGAGCCTCAATATTTTTCAAGAGTGTCAAAGGTCCTGATAGCAGAGAGCTTCCTCACTGCTCGTGTGGTGAGTCCAGAGACGAGGCCTGCAGCCCTTGCACACCTCGTCCGGTGAAAACCTGAAGCCCTCCTCTGGCTTTCATCCAATTTCACTGAGAAAGAAAGGGGGCTTTAGTTTTCTGGTTTGCCCCGCACAGTTCCTGTTTCTACAAATGGATCAATGGATGAATTACCTTCTGTCCACAAGTGCTTCCCTGATTATCTGTCACACTAACCTCAAGGTAGAATCCAGATTCTTCCCAAGTGGTCCAATTCCTCCTAACTCTACTCATATAAAGTATGTGCTCACTAGTTTCCTTTTCAAAGGATTTGGAAGAGGAGGAAGGGAAGTACATAGATGCCAAGCAAACTCTAAACTGAACGTTGGAGCAAGTTTGTGATTCATCCTACAGCATGCTTCTTCTTCCCCAGTGCAAAAGTGAAAGGAAAGGTACAGGGACTTTGATCTTCCACACGCTCCATCGTCCTACACCAACCTTCCTCACTGCCTACATATATGACATAAAAGTGGAGACTTTCTAAGCATTAACAATTTCAACACATGTCTTCTATCCCCATGTCCAATGAGAATTCTGGGATCCCCGTAAATGGACTGCTGGCTGATGGTGCATACTCCAATATGAGCCTGTTCTCCAAGGCTCATTAGAACTTTAAAGATCATCATCTAGTGCTTTTCCATTGTCTAACTTT